AGGCCCAATTTCGTTAATGATTAAGTAAGCATTTTTAATATCGACATATAAGAGTAAACTCGGAATGTCTGAATGTTCTCGAAAAGAATAAGTAATCAACTTCATGGTCAGTCAAAAAATTTTTGGAGCATAATGGGTAAGTTGAGTTTAACTCTGAGTCACACTAAAGTCGATGTTAAAACATCGCTGAAACTGGCATCGATGTGTCGTCAATTTAGCGATTTTAGGAAATTATAAACATCGATGGCAAACATCGAATTTTGTACCGATGTTATCGATGTTTCAAAAATATCGATGCATCGTTTGCATCCCTATGTACATTTGACACCGACTGTAAATATAAGCACGAAACTGTGTATTTGTGACAAGTATTATCCACGTAAGATGAAAACTACTGCAGTATCATTTTGTAAAATTTTTGTTTATAGACAAATACATATCTGTGGACTTTTGACAAAACAACGGCTGTGCTTTCTGTAGGTTGGAATTTAGAGTAAATTATAAGGAACTTCCATTTAAAAATTTTACATTTTTATTTAACTTTCATTAAGATATCACCTTGAACTACTCCTATTAATGACTGAACATAAAAACAACATTCGAGAACTCAATAAATTACTGATTTGAAGAGAAAATGACCTCAATCGAGAGAAGTTATTTTGTCAAAGTCCACAGATATGTAAGTAAGACAGTTCGGGTACGGTGCGGTTATTTGTACAATGATTTTGGGTTAACGTGTCTAAACGCGTCTAAAACGCGAATCAAAGAATTTTAACATTAGCGTCTAGTCAAAGGATTAAACTTTATTTTAAAACAAAGATTTCGGTTAGAAATATGCATTTTTTTTTTGTAAATTTGGAGGTGGATTTTGCGCAAAAATACTGGGGATGGCGTAAACGGAGTTGGACTATTGAGGTTATGTTTTGTAGCGCGGCCGAAGGCCACCAACGCGGAAAGAAGTTATGCGCAAAAATACAGCTGATGGCCTAATACGAGTTTAATTTCTCTTTGCGAAAATTCTAATTTTACCCTGTAGAAGGGGCAGGGAGACGAAGGCACTTTACTTAAAGTTTATACTCTGCTCTTTCTAATGAGTTTTAGGTGACACACCCCTTCCCCCTCTGCTCCACACCAAAAAATCATTGTACAAATAATCGAACACTTCCCTCGCGCAACATTGAATCCCCTGATGTATTGTTTGATTGCTATCAATGTGGCAAGGTAGCTCGTAATTTTTTTTGCAATTTATGAAACTTCAAAAACTTATTTTTTCTCAAAAATTTTGAAATGAAACTACCTTTTTTTGTATCATGATTATGTTTCCTTGTTTTGCAAAATTCTTTTATTTTTTTCAGGAAAAAAAACTGATTTGACTTTAAAACATTTTTTTTTGGGGGTTTTTTTAGCCTTTTTTTATATATTTATGGGAGGAGAAGCTCGGCCAAACACTAACATATGATTAAGCGAAAATCTATTATTATTATATATTTATTAAATTTATGAACGATTATTATTTTTAATTTTAGTAAAACGAATTGAAAATTTAGTTTTAAAAGTCTATGTATTTATTTTCTTTACACAATTTAATTGCTCATTTTGACCTTTTTAATAAAAAACATTTAAAATCAGTCTTACATTTTTAGCTAACATTTTTTCTACTAGATTTACATAAATCTAAAAAATTTGAACGCGTGCATTTATGATAGTTTTGGCATTATATTTTTATCACTTTTCTTAAAATGTCTTTCAGTTATCTGAAAATAAAGACGATTTTTACAAGGCGATAAGTGCTGCGTAGCGGTTGATAAGTTTTTTTTTTTGTTATGCAATACAAATAAATTTAATCAAATTGGATCCTTTAAATAAGGAATTTTCGTAGCAGATATATTGGGAAGAAAATTTGAATTTCAGGCTTGCTGAACTCTTCCTTTTAATTTAAGTTTGCCACGACAAAAACATATCCTACTTGGAAAGCTTTAAATTTATAGATTTTATAAGGACGCGCACAGAGTAAAAGCTATCTCTGTTCTGTTTCGCTCTGACGAAAACCTTTGTATTCATTTGAATGACAACAGTCGGTGTATATATACATAAATAAATACCCAGCCACATATTTTTAGATTTCATAGAAATCATTTTACAAGTCCCCCATATTTCCACCCCATCGCCACTTACTTGTACACTTCCTGCCACTCCCTTTCGAAAATCGGCTGTATGATCCATTGCTCCAGCATGTTGACCAAGTAGTTCACCACACGTCCCCAGAATGTTAGTGGTTGCCTCAGATTACTCAGCAATACAGGTGCATAAGACGGCTCCGTCGGGTTGCCCACTAAACGATCACTTGCGAAGATCGGTTGCACCTGGAAGGACGACACGATCGGACAGCGAAAATGCGCGCCCAACCCCATAGTGTAGTCGTTGACTGCATAGCTCAACAGCACCAAATCGAATTCTCCCGCGCCGTGGTTGCGCAGGAATTCACGCATTTTCGGGTGACTCAATGTTTGATTTCCGATGCTGATAAACGAATTTACTATATTGAAAATGGTCACATAGAAGGGTTTCGGCTTATTAACCATTTGCTGTAGTTCCGTTCGATCGAAAGATGCCCCACCATCCAACTCGATGTGTATGAATTCGTAGGCCGCTTTCGGGTAAACATTCTTCGAAACACCAATGACGGTGACATTGTGTCCGGCGCGCGCGAGTGTATCGGCAACAGCGGCGTGTATTATGGTATGCGACTTGGATGGCGTCGGAAAGAAGGCGAGTATGCGCGCAGCGTGTGTGTGCCTTGTTTGCGTACCGAGGAGGACGATGCCCAATATCGCTATGGCGAAAAGCCAGTGGAGCTTGCGAGCGTACATCATTTTTATTTCTTTTTGTTATGTTTGTTATGCACTGTTCTTCCCGCGAATTAGACGGTTGTAAGCTACTTTGTATACTAAAAAATTTGCTTAGATTACCAACCTAATATAGTCACTCACAGATGCCTAATAATAGGGATGTAATCTTTGCTAAATGATGATAAGCATCATTCTGTGCGCGTCAGCGTCCATTTAGAGCGGCCAAGGTGAGATTTTAGTAGGAATGTGAGATGTGCGCCTAATGTTATCATATCTGAAGAAACATTGTTTCGAGACCTGTCAATGACCTGTTGCAAGTTTAATCGCGCATTTGAAATGCTAGGATTAGCTAGACTAACGGCATATAAAACGTACTTTTTTAAGAGATAGCCATACTTATCGAGTACCTGAGTGCGCATAGAGCTATAAAGCACTAGCCTGAGACGTTGTTTTTCATATGGACATATGAACGTATTTATGTACATATACGTATTTTCAAAAGTAGAGAAGCTTGTTAAAACTTCAAGGCCAGTCATATTAAAGGCTGCACTACCCCACTCGATGAATACCACTTAGGCTAGATTGGCTTGCGGTGGTTTCCATGAGCCCAAAATTCATTGGAGGCTTACCCCTAAGCAAAAACGAGTTACGCAAGCAGACGATGTCAGTTAGAGATGGTCCTTCAGCAGTGATATATCCATTTATAGTCGTTAGCCATATTTTTGTTGCTGTCGTTATTGTTGTTGTTATCGTTCTCGATATTGTTATTGTTATCGTTTTCGATATTGTTATTGTCATCGATATTGTGATCGTGGTCGGTATTATTTTATATTTTTTTTTTGGTATTGTAATTGTTATCCATGTGTTTACTGTGTATTTATCATTATTTTTTATCATATTGCCACAATATTTTTTTGTTTATACATACGTACCCTTGTGGTCAGCTGAATAAGTTATGTCGCCTAACTTATTTGAGCAGTTTTGGCTATTTTTCTTTTGTTTATTGAATGTTTTTAATTTTTTTTTATTAAAATTTAGCACATTACATAACCAGCACCACATAAATGCACATTTCAATCTTCATACGAAATTTATAAAAATTAAGCAAACTAACAATTGCACCCAAAAATATTAAACGCGATTTTCTGGCGTCTTAGAATTTGCACTTTAACCTAAATTAACCTTAAAATTTTCTAAAAAATTTTAAATAAAAAGTTTAAAATTTTTGGGTGTAATTGTTAAATTTTTGGAACTTTTATAATTTTGTAACTACTTTAAAATGTGGATTTATGTGGGGCTGGTTATGTAATGTACTAGACTTTTATACAAAAAAATTATAGACATTAAATAAACAAAAGAAAAATAACCAAAGTTGGTCAAAATGTCACTTAACTTAATCAGCTGACCACAAGCGTATGTGTGTATGTACGTAACCATCTATCTTATCTTAAGAGCTACGTTTTTTTTTTTCAAATCTAAAAGAATAACATAATAAAGAGCAAAAGACTTTTTATATGAAGATAAGAATTCGCTTGAAATGGCTCCTCAGTGACTGAAAAATTTTTCATGATTTTATTTATGACATGGATTATCAATGAATTGGTAATTTGGCTCATTAATGTGAGTTCCTTGTGCGATAAAAGCTATCGGCTAGGTTAGATGAATGAATACGCCGCCTTCAGGGCGTACATACATACATATGTAGTTATGTGTGTATTTGAGCGAAATGCTGCTACACATGATTATCGAAAGAGCCTTGGGATGGACCAAAATGCCACATACCGAAGGGCAGCACAAGCTCTCTTATCTAATCCGAATAAAGCATTCTTGTAGAATCGTTTTTTAACTATTCCTGAAAACCATAACTATTTTATGGCTTTGCTGGCGCTTTTTTAATGAACCGAAATAACCTTCATGCTCTTCCCGACCCTACCCGCATGGTCTTGTCTACTGTGGGCTTAAAACTTCAAAGTTAAAAAAAAAAATAAATTAAGTTGCGTTTCCCCACAGTGGCCATCCCTAGTTTCACTCCCTAAACCCTCCTTCCCACATACTCAGTACTTACACATACAACTGCTGCGTGCAGTCATCCAAATACAGCTCTAATAAATCCTCCAACCTCGATGTAATAAAATTTCCCACTCTTTGCAGAAAATCCATCGGCTGTTGCAGATGACTGAACAGGGTAGGCACATACGCGACCATTGCGGAATTGCCAACAAAGCGATTGATTTGCATAGCCGGCTGTACTGTCCGCCACAAAATCACAAATGGGGGAGCGAAAATGCGCCGCTATACCCATCAGAAATTCGTTCATCACAAACCCAAAAAGCATCAGATCAAATGCATCCTCGCGATTTTCGCTTAAGAATTGACGCATACATGGCAGCCACAACGTCTCATTGGCCATTTGCATATATGTATGTAGTGTCGCGTTGTGGTTAGCATGCTTCGTATGAAGGACTGTCTATGTTGATTGACTACGTCGCGCAGCGCTTTGTCATCTAATTGTCCGCCGTCTGGCAGTTGCAGGCGTATATATTTGTACATATGTGGCATTTGGATAGAAATTCTCCTTAACGCCAATTACGGTGACATCGTGCCCGGCGCGTGCCAATTCCTCGGCGACTATGCAGTAGATCAGCATATGCGATATGGAGTAGGAAGTGAAGACGCCCAGTATGCGTGCGGTGGCGTGGAGTGATTGCGGCGCCTGGATTAAGAAGCAGGTAAGCACTGTTATTGAGAAATGTGGAAATTTTTTGTTCAACATATTGAATTGGAGGAGGTCGGGTCGCCGTTTTCTTTTTATTGAACTCAACGCTTGAAATGTTTCAATTAAACTGCGCTGAGAACGCGCGAAAAATTCGGTTGAGCTTGCGGTCACTCTGCACTGCTGTTTGTGTAGAAAGAAGAAACCCCCAAAGACTTGTTCTGCGAATTTCCTAGGAGTTGTTTACTGCAAACCCCCAAATCCAGCGGCCCCTTATTACACATAAAAATTTGAGCTGTAAGCCTTGGTTTCCTAATGTCTTTTGAGTTTCTTCATATCGAACTGCAACTTCTTTGACAAACTGAACAACCTATTAGGGTTATACATACAGTCAGCGTCAAAAATATCCATAGCCTGACGTTAGTTCGTTCAAAAGCAAAAACCGCAAGAATATATTTTTTAATTTCATTCAAAACTCAGGGGAAAATGGAAGACATTTTCATTGAAATTCTCCAATTCGATTTCTTGTAGCCCTTAAAATTTTAGTATAACAAATTGCATGTTTCAAGTCGGTAGTTGAGATTTTTTTCGCACCCTCAAAAAAAAACGTCCAAAATCAACGGCAATTTTTAGCGGCTTGAAAATTGAACTTTATTATGTTAAAATTGAATGGGTTACAAAAGTGCACACTCAAAATTTTTCTCAGAAATCGAATTGTAAAATTAAAATTTCTTGCATTTTTCCGAGTTATATATGATATTAAATAAAAATGATTCTTGTGGTTTTTACCATTGTATGAACTATATTTTTATGAAAAACTTAGAATAATAATATTGACCGCTCAAAGACAGCTTTTAAATATTTAGAAAAAAATCTTTTCTTATTTTCGGCCAAAAATTTCAGCTACGACAAGTTTTTTTTCTTAGCAATTATTACTAAAACGTGTTCTCCTGTTATCACATAACTTAGAAGAACTGATATACATACGTACATACTTACATAAGTAAGAAGATAAGATTCACTTAAACGGTATATAAATTTATTATCGGTTTAAAAATAGTTTGTGTACGCACGTACAATGTGGTAAGCGAAGTCGTTAACGTTGACAGTCGGTAACAATTAAGTTCATCCTATTTGTTTTTCCAATGCAAGGGCTAAAGCTATATTTGAAGAGATTTAATTTTTTTATCTTATATTTACATGCATACAGTATTGGACATATCTATAGCACCCCCCTTTCAAAGCGATATTGTTTGCCACTTATGTTTAGTTATTTGTTTTTAAGAATTTTCAATTAAAATACAGTTCATTCTCTAACAAAACCCATATAAACCCATGTTTTAAACTTTTTAAAAGACCGCAAAAAAGCGCAACAAACTTTCCCTTAAATTTCAAACTTTTTTCTCAGAAGCTCTAGAATTTTTTTGAGTACACAGTTTTATAGCGCATTCAATTTTAGTCCAATAATGTGCAAGTTTCAAGTCGCTAAAGATTACCGTTGATTTTTTAGAATTTTTTTTGTCTCATTTGCTTCCATATAACGACTAAACACAATTTATTTTTATATGGCAGAAACCCGCAACATCCTCGGCGAAAAAAATTCTAAAAAATCAACGGTAATTTTTAGCCACTTGAAACTTGCACATTATTAGACTAAAATTGAATGGGCTATAAAACTGTGTATTCAAAAAAAGTCTACCGCTTCTGAGAAAAAAGTTTGAAATTTGGGTGAAAATTTGTTGCGCTTTTTTGTGGTATTTTAAAAAGTTTTAAACTTGAGTTCATGTGAGTTTTGTGAGAGAATTAACTGTATTTTAATTGAAAATTCTTAAAAATAAATAAATAAACATGAGTGGCAAACAATCAGGGCTATCACGGAATCCAANATCTACGAATTTGAATGCCTGCTACGAATACGAAAAAATTGCTATCACTGATTCCGAGTGAACTCGAAAATATCGTTGCCAGCTTCGATTGTTGATTCGAAATCAGCAAGTGCATAGGAAACAATAGACATTTATGTATGCCATTTTGCTCACGCTGCCCCAGCAGTCGCAATGGCCGAGTGAGCAAAGCACTAGACTGCCAATTGGGAGATCCGAGTTCGAGTCTGAGTCGTCGGCAGTGGAGCTTTTTTCTTTTTTATTTCATTTTTGTTTTTTTTTTAATTATTTTTTTTTTTTTAGTTTAGATCTTATTCTTTTAAAGAGAAAACTATTTTTTTTAAATAATTTAAAANTTTTTTAAATAATTTAAATTTGTATTTTTTTAAATAAATTTATATGATATTAAAGTAATTAGATTTCTTTCCTAATAAATTGTTGTTACACTATTATTTCCTCGCTTCAAAAAAAACATTCATTAAATAGCGTCTAGCAGATGAATATATGAATGTACATATGTAGGTATGTATGCCATTTATATTTTACGTCTACGTTTACACAAATATATGGAATTATATCAAACTATAACAAATATGGAGTATAATAAATATTTATTATTAACAATAATGCAGCTTTTCTCCGTTATTTTTAAGATTGAGTGATTTTAAATTTTGTTCGGACAGCATAAACTCGTCGTAGTGTATCTGTACGAATATTCATAACGAACGGATTCAATGAAAGCTCTCTACGAGCAATGATAGCACTTTCGTAGGTTTCACGAAAATTGAAGCTACGATGGATTCTGTGATAGCCCTGAATATCACTTCGAAATGGGGGTGCTATTGTCTTGGCCAATACTGTATGTACCTACAATACATGCTTATGCATAGTATCGAGATATGCGAAATTTATTATGTTTTTCCAAATAAATTTAAATTCACGTATTTAATTTTCACTTCAATCCATTTAATCCATTAAATTTTGATATAAACTTGATTTCTCTTCACTGATTTCTCAGCTGAACGCATACGATCACTGGTCATGATCACCAAATTTGGCAATTTTTTTTATTTGTTTCATATTCAAATGCGTAAACTTAGGACTAAATTTTTATTTATTTAATTAACCAAATTTAAGTGTTTTTACAACGACCGAAATGAACCGTTAAATATAAAGATTGTTATTTTTAGATCATTGCAAAATCGTTATTTTTTATTTCTATTTTTTTTCGGTCAAAATTAATCGTTATTTTGATATTTTTAGTTTTTAAGTCTTTTATGATCTAATTAATCTAAAATTAAATCTGAAAATAGCGGTGAAAACATGATCGAAAAAATAAAAATCAAAATGATACTGGTTAAATTTGATTGGAAAAATAGAAATCCAATTTTCACGGTTAAAGGGCTGTTTTCAGCTTTCAAGAAAAACGAAAAATTCATATAAAATGACGCACAAGAAATGGAAAAGAAATTTTATTTTTTTCAAAATTTTTTAACTCAGTATGCAGCTGTCAAGAAAAAAATACTCGTCTATTTATTCCTTCAAGAAAATTTACAGCAAAAGCCAAGTAAGTACTTGTTCTAGCAATAGCAATAATGCAACAAAAAATTTTTTGTGATTTATCATTCAAAACAAGTATTTCACTCAATCCATTACAATTTTTTACCCTTCAAATATGGGCCTTTTTAACGGTAAACATGCAATTGTAGCAACTGTAAAATTTCACTGTTAAATTTTGCTAGTCCTTTTTGCCCATAGGTATGTACATTCAAATATTCCTAGCATCGCGCCATTGTTTGCAATTTTTGCTGTTCAGCGCGGCTCGTTCATTGGGGAAATGTCAGCAATTGACATGACTTAATAACACTAGATCACAATTTTTTAATTTTTTTTGTGCCACGGATGCCCCTATCCAATTGCTATGTCGAGCCGCATGCTGATTTCGAAAATCGAGCTAATTTTTTATATGGATTTTCGATTATTTTCATGTTACTTAAACCATGTACACGCTTTCCTTCCCCTTTTTCATGCAACAAATTCTTGCGCATTTTCATTTGACCACTCATTCCTTTTTTATTTATCCATCAATTTTCTTCTTTAAAATAAAAACAAATTTACACAGAAACTTTTACTTTTTAATTTGTTTCCTGATTTTCCACCTTTTCATAAAACAAAAAATCTGGAATGATTAATTAATTTCTTAGGAACCATCAGGCCTATCGAAAAGTGATGTATATACGGTCTATGGGGGATTTTCATTAGCTTTCGTTTGCCATATTTCGCATTAAGATTATTTAGTTGCTACATTAGGTATACGTGATTAAGTGGAATCACTTCTTTTTTTTTAGCGGTAAATTGCAAATATTTTGAAAATCATCCATAGAAAAAAAACTTACCCGGTTTTCGGAATCAGCGAGTAATTCTACATAGGAGCTGGATAGTGGCATCCATGGAACATTTTGGCTGTAAACCAGTGTAATTAAATTATGTTACTGCTTGCTGTTAATAGTTATTGTAAAACTTATTTTCGATGAGGTTGCTGTTGTTTTTCTTTACTACAATTGGCTTTGTTTTGGTGGGAATACCTTTATGGCCTGTGAGCATACATAAAAATTGTGTGCCATTATTAATTTGTGTTTCAATAGCTTTCGAGTGCCTAATTAAACGGAGTATACTTTTGTACTTAACGATGAGTCGAGGAAGGCTGACCTTATTGGAAATACGCACTTAAATTATACATATTTACAAATTTCAATAAAATGAGATATACAGTGATAAAAGATCATTTTATGGGCCCAGATTTTACAACAGCTCTCAATATGCTTCCGCATAAGGTTCAACTAATGAAGAGTGGTGCAGTTTTATGTTTCCGAACAACACTTCCTACCTATGATGAGCCTTTTTATAACAATAAATGTTTTCGATACCCTGACTTGGTCTGCCTAAATGTCATGCAGAATTTGCACTCGACTGAGGTGGAAAAATAGAGCGAAGTGTAGAGTGCCACTTATATAAAATAAGTCCATTCTTCACTTCAGTCTTTTTGGCAGACATTGCCGAACTTTCTGAAAATTTTGCGACGGCATGTCCTGCTTCTTCTTTGAACTAATTGAAAGGTCCAAGCTTTATTCTTCTCTAGCTGGAAATCATATTGGCGTTTTCTATGGAA